CTCCCCCTCCGTGTCAGCCCCGGCGCGGGAGCGGGCGGCCTCTCCGGCGCGGTTGGCGTGGATGTCGGAGGAATGCGGAGAGGCCATCTCCGTAAATGGCCACCTCCGGCTTGGCACCTGGGCGCTGGAAACCCCGTGAGGGGGGATCAAAGGGCCTGTCCTTCGGGGTTACTCGTCTGCCGCGCCCTCGCTGGTGTGTGTCGTCTGTAGAGAGACTGACAGCTGAACTCACAGGTTTTCGGGTGTTACCTTTAGATGCTTTTTCTTCATGGTTTTATTCTGCGTCAGCTAAGCTACCTTGTCCCTCCAGTCAATAATTTTTTTAAGAAAACAGACTTTTAAGCAAATTCTGTCGTACAATTTTTTGAGCAAGTCTGTGGTTCACGCCGTCTGGTATCTCCTACACTGTCATCGTACTGGTGATCATGCCATTTGTGATGTGGAAAACGTTCTCCTAGCATTCCTGTTTACATAGAGGTGCTTATCTTCGGAAGTATGAGGACTTACGTTGTTGTCAGAGCGCTGCTGTAGTGCAGGTGTATTTTGTTACAAGCATAGCTCAGTGTGATGGTTACAGTTTCTCTGCTCAATAAACTAGAAGACATTCTTTCTGATCTTCAGTTAATGCTTGTGCAAAATTTTGAGAGCAGAGACTGCATTTTCTTATACAAGAAAGTGTATATGATTTTTAAGTATTTGAAGGCAATTTGAAGTGTTGTCTTCAAAATGTCAATGCATTTTTTTCACAAAAGGTCTGACTTGGTTAAAGTTTAATTCCGTATGTTTTCACTACGAAGTTTGATTCTGCACTGTTAACATAGCAGGTAAATTTAAGAAATTAAGTTAGAACCTGTAGTTCTGTTACAGCTTTGTGCTCTTTGTATTTTTTTTAATATGTACCTGAAACTTGTACTGTAAGACATTTTATTTCTTAGGAAAACTAGGGGTGAATTGTAAAAGTCGCAGAAAATAACAGGAAAACTCAATCACGTTATGGTACAGCAACATAAAGATACTGACTTACCAATCAAGATGTAAGTGCTGTATAGGCTGTTTCAGACCAGTCAAAGCCATATTTTACTTATAAATTAATTGATATGGTGTTTGGAATATAAAAAAAATTTCCCTTAGTGTTTTTTGTCTTTCATTAATAATAGTGGGCAACCATGAATTTTAGTTCAGCAACTTTTGTTATAAAGTGTCTAGTCTGTAACTTTCAAGACTTTTCACATTGCTGTTTGCATTCAAGTAGCTCAGAAATTGGAAATGCTTATGGAGCCAGACTATCATTGATAAATCCTCCATGAGCGTTTGAAATTCAAGTTCACTGCTGCAGCTCAGCAGATGAAGAGTAGGGTTATGGTAGAGCATACGTTAAGTGCGTATTTGCATTTATCTATCTGCAAGGGTGAAAGTTGTCTGTGTTGTACAGGTGTTAAAGGAGAAAATAAGCTTGAGGTCTGGGCAGAGGAGAGGGACTGGTTAGAGGGAGAGAATAGCTTTGGGAATTCGTGAGGTTAAAATACAAAACAGGAGTTAGAAATGGCCAGCATGGTTTAAATAGTTCAACACTGAACTTTCCAGTAAATCCTGGTGAAGTTTAAATTTGATACTTCTAGTGTGGCTGGTTAGTAGTGAAATTACTGATTTGCATCAGCTATTGCAGATTTCAAGGGTAATTCTTAAAATATAGATTTATTTTAAGGAATTTAAAATTCATATTACGATCCAAAAGATTATGTCGGTTTGAAGCTCTTTTCAAATCCCCGAGGCAGCAATAAGCTATTTGAGATAAGTCTGTTTTGTATCCTAGATTGCTTATCAGAAGGCATTAATAACTTTATTAAAGGTTTCAGAAGACATGTCATAGGCATTTTTAATGAGAAAAGTACTGCAGGTAATTAATTCCATTGTGAAATACTATGTTTCATCTGAGAAGACAGCTTTGAGGGCTGAGTGAAAATGAAGCGTTACAAAAGGTGGAAATTGCAACCGCATCTGTTTTTGTAGGTCATAGCATAATTCCTAAGAAGGCAAATCAAAGAGCTAAGCTTCAGAAAAACTAGAAGTAGCTTCAGAAAAACTAGAAGTGTACATTTGCAACTGTCTTTTATAATATGGATGTTTGTGTCAGAAGCCTATGGATGCTAGCACGTACCTCTTTTCGGTGCTATGAGTCCATACAAAAGCCTAGTCCGTACAAAAGTAAACATAAAAATGATCCATTATTAATGTGCATAAGTTAGGTTTGTTACATGGTGTAATAGAGAAGTGCAGCAGGAGAATTTTTTTCTCTGATGGTTAGCTCTGAACTTCTTTAATACAATACAATTAACATCACACTGCATATTCACATATAACAATGAAGTAGTGAACTGTTTGCCTTTCAGGATGATGCCTTTGGTGGAAATACTGATCTCGTGTTACAGTATTTTATAAATAAATCTAGATTTCAATCCATGTAAATATTATTTGTAATTTTAGAAATGTTACTATTTCATTTAGGTTTTGCTGCCATTCTCAGAGTAGTGATGACAACGGTAGCTAATTTGTATTAGTGACTATAAAACTAAGCGTGTGAGGGCAAGTGAGGCTCTCCAAGTGAGAATTAAAATAAAATGGACATATCAGATGGAACCTGTGCAAATGGAAAAGCATAGGAAAAAAACTCTACAATATTCAAAGTAGTGCTGGTATTTCTTAATATAATCAGCTAAGTGAGATGGTAAATGTTTTGTTTAACCAAAAGCATACCCTTGGAGTTCACTTTAAGTCTTAGTAATCCACAGGTGACTGAAAAGAGTTTTTACATTAGTCTCATTTTAATGTAGTAATATTTATTATAGCAGGGGTATGAAAGATGCGACAAGAATTATTCTCAAGATTTCATATATATGGAGATCTCATTACTCATGCATGATCCTTTATCCTCCCCATTCTTATTTTTGCTTCAGGTTAATGGTGTTTTTTAGTGTCTTTCCGTGTACCCTTTTTTTCTGATAAATAAACTAATGGATGCTGACTGTGATTTCAGGATTTTTTGTTTGGGTTTTGTATGTTTATTATGAAACATTACCTACTGTTTAATGAAACCAGCTAATTGAAGTGTATTGAAATAAAATATAGACATTAAAATGTACTGATACAGTATTCATGCATTGCGAATACCACCCTTGTTATTTTCAGTGTATTTGCATGCTTCAGATGTCAGTGAAAAAGTCGGCTCAACCATGATGTGTATTTAAATTGGTTTGGCATGAAACATGGTTAGAATATTTAAGCACTGACAAAAATAGCTGAGCACTGGTGTTCTGAATAATACAATGAAAGATATTTCTTAGTTCATTTTTAACTGAAACCTGCATTTTTAAACTAGGTATCAGCATATGGCTTCTATTTTTATGATTTTAGCAGCATCCAGAATATAATGGGAGCACTGATGATTATTTGTTATTTAATTCTGGCTGCAGACAGCACATCAGTGCAGATAGGCAAGAATGGGGGAAGGGTACATTTCTAGTCTCTTGCAGAGGAAAGAAAATTCTGAATTCTGTGTCAAAGAGAAAGTAGGGAAATTGTGTGTAAATCAGTGTGTTACCTAAACTGGGGGGGGGAAATCTCTGTCTGCATTAGTAACATTTATTTGTGCTAGATTATCCTGGTAAATGAAGCAAAATGGCTTTTATCGTCAGTATCCAAATAAGCATGTCAAAAGTAGATAACTGCAGTACCTAAAAATTGTTAAGTGGATTTCTTCGAAATGTCATTTGTGTGTGCTCAGACTTTAGTGTGTGCATATTTTAAGATCCATGTGCAGTTTGATGGAGTGGATTATTGGTGTGTTTTTTTTTTTTATAGGACCTCTTGGTGGTATTGAGTGTCTTTTTATTGTTTGGTAAGAACTGAGAAAACTGAATTTATTGTTGTCATATTAATGTTTCGGAGATAGTGATGATGATGAATTTTCTTCCCCTTACCCTGCTGATTTCATTTCACCTGCATTTATTTCAGTTTAAATGCTATGGCTTGAATTTTACTATGCTAGATGTTTTCCAAGTAAGAGCAGTGTTGTTGCTTACAAATACTACAGCTGAACTCTCTTGCAGCTCAAGAATGTATAAAGACCTAAAAGATCGTGAATTTTTGTGCTGTGTTTTGCTTCTTAACCTCAAATGTAAAGCAGTACAGAGTTTGTTGTTAGGTCTGTGTGTTTTCTTGGATCTCACTTTGTCCTGGTTTCGGCTGGGACAGAGCTAATTTTCTTCTTAGTAGCTGGTATAGTGCTGTGTTTTGGATTTAGGATGAGAATAATGTTGATAACACCCTGATGTTTTAGTTGTTGCTAAGTAGTGCTTATACTAAGTCAAGGACTTTTCAGCTTCCCATGCTCTGCTGGGTGCACAAGAAGCTGGGAGGGGGCACAGCCAGGACAGCTGGCCCAGACTGGCCCAAGGGCTATGCCATACCGTATGACGTCATGCTCAGTATATAAACTGTGGGGAGCTGGCCGGGGGACAGCAATCGCTGTTTGGGGACGGGCTGGGCATCAGTCAGCGGGTGGTGAGCAATTGCATTGTGCATTGCTTGTTTTGTATATTTTTTTATCATAATTATTATTATTTTCTCTTCCTCTGCTGTCCTATTAAACTGTCTTTATTCAGCCCATGGGTTTTACTTTTTTTTTCCCCTGATTCTCTCCCCAGTCCCTCTGCAGGGATGAGGGTGAGCAAGCGGCTGTGTGGCGCTTAGTTGCCGACTGGGGTTAAACCACAACACACTTGAAACAGCAGACTATTTGAGCCTGTAATAAAGATAACTTTTTATTGAGCTGCTGTCAGTTGTTAAGAAGCTGTTGTCTAAGCCTCACTGAAACCCGCCATATTTAAACTCTCACAAAGTCTTCTGACTAAACAGTTTTTCAGTATTTTAGCTCTTTATTTTGGCATCATGTTTCTTCAGTTGGTCAGTATTACCAAGTCTTCAGCAAAATAGAGTAGGGCAAGATCTGAGTTTTGAGCAATTTAGTATGCAATTCAAAAATCTACCTAAGAAAGTGGTGTAATATATTAGTGGCAAAAGGGCATAATACCAGCCGTGTTTTCTGCGTGCCACTTACCAGGGTTAAGTAGTTTCTAAGTTGGTTTCAAGGAAATAAATTTGTCACCATTGTAATTCAGATTTTTTTGTTTCTTTTGCCCTAACAGATGTGTATTATTGCATACTTAGAGTATACTCTTATTAAATTTATGATGGAAAAGTTACAAGTGTATAGATAAGATATATTTACTTTGCTAACAAGTGATAAAAGAGTTGAGTCATAAGGTTTTCACAGTAGTTCTTAATAAACTTTATTATTCTTTCAACAGACCTCTTGGAAGTGTAAACAATGGAGGACGAGGAAAACCAAGTGCAACTCCTGAATGAAAAGCAGGTGCCGAACTCTGAAAGTGGTTATGTGTGGCATGTCACCGATATGAATCGACTGCAACGTTTCTTGTGTTTTGGTTCAGAAGGTGGTACTTATTACATCAAGGACCAGAAGCTGGGCTTTGAAAATGCAGAAGCTTTAATAAGACTGATTGAAGAGGGTAGAGGTTGTGAAGTTGTTCAAGAAATAAAGACATTTAGTCAAGAAGGCAGAGCAGCAAAACAGGAGCCCTTGCTTTTTGCTCTTGCAATTTGCTCACAGTGTTCTGATGCAAAAACAAAACAAGCAGCATTTAAAGCTGTTCCTGAGGTGTGTTGCATACCAACTCATCTCTTTACTTTCATCCAATTTAAAAAAGATCTGAAGGAGGGCATGAAATGTGGCATGTGGGGCCGTGCACTGAGGAAAGCTGTTGCAGATTGGTACAATGGAAAGAATGGCATGGCTGTTGCTTTAGCAGTTACAAAATATAAACAAAGAAGTGGTTGGTCTCATAAAGATCTTCTGAGGTTGTCCCACCTAAAACCTGCCAGTGAAGGTAATAAATTTTTATTTACCTGAACATGCTGTGTTTTAAACCTTTTATATTTTCTGTGGAACTATTTTGGAAACCCAAGTACCCTTGTAGACTGATGATTTCTTAGTGATGGCATTGTGTAAATTGCACCTTAAAAATGTGAGTGGTCGTATCAGAAATTGACCTGTTTATCTTCAAGGTAAACAGAGTTTGTTCCTTCTGTTTCTTATGTCAAGAGAAGATAAAATAATACAGTTCCCTCAATTTGTTCCTATTTGCTTACAAACAATGAAATAACACTTTTTCATTATTTGGGAAGATCTGTTGGTTTCAAATATGTTAGGCTCCTTACTTCTAAGGAGAATAATACAGTAATTAAAACTACTGCTCTAAGTTGTGTGGGGCTGACCAGCTGTAAGCTGGTTGGCAGGTCTGAGAATGAAACCTGTTAACCCATTTGCTTGCTAGAATGATAAATGCCAGTATAAAGATGGTAATCCTGCTTGGAAAATATTTTTCTTTTCAACAGGAATTGCTATAGTCACTAAGTATATTACCAAAGGGTGGAAAGATGTCCAAGAGGCTTATAAAGACAAAGCAGTTTCTGCTGAGACTGAAAAACTCTTAAAGTATCTGGAGGCTGTGGAGAAAGTAAAGCGCACAAAAGATGAATTGGAAGTTACTCATTTAATAGAGGAATATGGTCTAGTTAGAGAGCATCTCCTGACAAACCATCTGAAATCTAAAGAGGTAGGTAAACTTCATTAGCTTTGTATTCTCTTTAGAGTAACACTTTTCAGAGTCTTAAGTCTAGATTTCCATAAAAAATAGTCCTTATGCTGTTTTTCAAGTTATTTACCCAAGTAGCTAATTTAAAATAATGAAGACCTTCATATAACTTGTACGTTTATTTTAAAATACACTTATTTAATGTACAGATGTCAGTTCTTGTAGTTTAGGAATCTCATCTTTTTTTTCCCTTCTCTTTCTTCGATTGTAGGTTTGGAAGGCATTGCTGAAGGAGATGTCCATTACTGTATTGTTGAGAAATTTAGGAAAACTGACAGCAAATTCAGTGCTTGAACCACGAGGTTCAGAAGTGGCAATAGTATGTGAAAGACTGAGAAATGAGAAACTGCTAAAAAAGGTAAGAAATTTTTCATAATCAGTGCCAGCCTTTGTGGTTTTTAATCTCTTCCTAAACTGTATTTCTTCAGGCAACCTCTTTACAAAATAAAAGGGATGTTCTTTGGAAGAAATGTGTAGTTTTTTCTTTAAAAAAAAACTGCAATAGAATACATGCACTTTTATTTTAAAACCTGTATCTATCATTTCTCATTTGATTTCCCCCCTCCCCTATTTCTGAAACTTTTCTACAAATTTAGTATATTGACAGCTAGGATCTTTTCTTAAATTAGGGCTGTGGCAAGCTTTGCCTGTTGGGTTCATCTATTGCTTCTGAGTCTTGTAATTTAGAATCAGCAATATAAGCTTAAAAAGTGAGTGGAAGTTACTTGTGTAGGATCCTAGGAAGTGAATGAAGAAACTAGCATAGCAGCTGAGAGGAAAAAGAATACAGAACAAGGAGACTTTGTCCTTTCAGATTGCTTTACTATCCGTCAAAGAGGTACAAAATAAGAGGGGAAAAGAAGGTTCCCCAAAGAGAGAATAAAATTTTCAGGAATTTAATGGGAGATAGAGGAGATAAGTGGCTTTTTCTAATAGTTTTGTGAGTTGGGGAGATTAAAATCAGGACACTTAACTTCTTCAAGACCGTAGTTGAATTGAGGACAACAGTAGGTCCTTTTT